TAAAAACATGGAATGAATGGTCGTAAGACCACGAAATGAGGAAATGAAATAGATAGTGAAACGCATAAGTTTTTTATAAAAAGTTGAAGCCTGAGGGAAAACTTGCAGAGCTAAAGCTTTAGAATGGCATCATTGAATTTTGACTACTTCCCTGTGCTTGATAACCAACAAACACTGATTTGTTTTATGAATTTTTTTTTTTTTTTAGAATTGAGAGCGCTGGCACAATTGCTTGGGCCATACGGTGTAAAGTACATGAGTGAACGATTGGTGTGGCATGTGGCAAGTCAAATCACCGAGCTGAACAAGATCGTCAATGAGCATCGTGATGCACTGCGATTGGCAAGGAGTTGCTTTGATAAGCCGGACAAAATGCGTGAATTGTTGCTGCAACTAAGTGGTGATGTAAAAGATAAAAAACAAGTGAGTGTTTGTCGGCAGAGATCAAAAGAACCACATTTGACACCGTTCCTTTAAATCAGCCTTGCTTTGGCTTTGTGCCTATAGTAGGGGAAGCGCATCTTGTCTGTACTCAGTACCAATTTATACCTCGTTATCAGAACCATTATACCTTTTGGCCTGTGCTACCCTGCAGATTGCTGTGAGCGGTCCGATGGAGTCTGTGCTACAACGCGTTACTATCATTGGTGAAATTTTATCATTTCATTCACTTCTGCATGCTGCACTTCATGACGTGCTCGAACGCCGCTTGCCGTTTCTGGTATCGATCGTGAAAGATTTGTACGACTCGACAGATGAACACAATCGATTGGTAAAATCGTTTAAAATTGACTCGTGATGAGTACTGATGTGTGCCTTGCGTGCACTGTGACGAAATTGAGGTGTAAGTCCCGAGGGCAAAATGAGGAATAGTTTTTTTTTTTTGATGGAATGCATACTCCTACTTTTTGTCAAAATATTTGAAATCAAAATCGAAACTGTTCGCTTTAGAGTGATAAAACCTCTGTTGATCCAGGGAGGCATGCCGAGCAGGATGAGGGCGGTGTTGTAAGGGAACTTTGTTGATGTATATTTTAACACCATATCCACATTAATTCACCATACAGTTACTGCTTGGAATTGAACGTGCTGCAGATGGGTGTCACTGGCCTGGTGTAGTGCATTTTATGCAGAAATTGTATGAGCGAGAGTTATGTGATAAAATATCACTGGAATGAGGAGGAGAATTTATTTTTGTCAGCGAAATTACGCCAATTTAGATGCTTACGGAGATGTGTGAGGCAATTGGCATCAGTACAGAAGTTGATGCAGCAC